AATATTTCTGCGCTTATCCTCTCGCACACAAAGACCCGGTCTCACCTTGAAATTTCTTTGGTGCTTTTGTTAGCTCTCTCATTCAAACGCTTGGGCAAACACACAGCGCAAACATACAGACAGACAGACAGACCGACAGGCAGGCAGAGAGACCGAAACAGAAAGAGGGGGCTAACTGACAGCGACACAGGGCGCAAAAGAAGTCGAAAAGTGAGGCTGAGGTCCGACCCCAGACCAGAGCCATGGACCACCAAGTGAGTGAGTTATCTGATGGCCGTCAAGTTAGAGCTCTTTGGTCTGGTCTGGTCTGGTCTGATCTCCCACCCGTTCGTTCTGGCCACCCGCTGAATTGTCTGTCCAACAATACGACGTTCTGTATTTGCGTTTAAAGTTTTTTTGATTGAATTGTTGCAAATTGTTTGCAAATCTATTTCGTTTGGGCCCCGCAGCAGCAGCAGCAGCCGCACAATTCGTACTCCTCCATTGAACAATTGGTTTTTGTCTTTGTCTGTCTGTGGTGCGGGGGCTTTTGTGGCCACGCAGATATCCAGATATCCAGAGCCAGCCTCGACTCGACTTGACACTGAGTTATGGTTCTGACAGCTGCTGCAAAAGGCAACATACAGAAAGCGAGAGAGAGAGAGAGAGAGAGAGGGGGAGACTCTTTTGGCCAGCTTTGGATTTCCATTCTATAGCCAGTTTTTGAGCCACAAAATTTCGTTGCCTTTGTTAATCCTATTACCGAACCGAAGCGCAACTTCAGCAACAGATAAAGTAATTACCCCACACAGCTGCCCCAAAAAAGTTCCCCAAAAAGGGAACAAGAGGAGCGGACTGCTTCGCTGACTTTTGCAGAAAAAAAAGGTAAAGGTTTAGACCTTTTTCTTCTTTATTAATACACTCTGAACTGTGAGGGAGGGTGTTGCGCAAATTGGATGAGGCTGCTCTCCACCCCTTTTCTCTCTCTCTCTCTCTCAGTGTGGTTTAGCAATCACGGTTGATCGAAGAGAGCGTCCCACCTCCTCCTCGCTCTGTCAAATATAATTTCCATTATATCTCTGAACATTTCCATTTCGATTCTCATTCTGAATCGATGGTCAATGTTCCGGCAGTTTCCTTTCTATATCCTGGCCTTGGCTAACATTAACATTAACCATCAGCTAAATCCAGACAGAAAGAGACACAGGTGTGGGTGCACCACTGAAATCTAGACGCCAGCCAGCATTTATTTAGCCATTAAACACGCTTCATGGGTTTTTGCTTATTTTCATTTTCATTATCAATTTGGTCTCGCGCAGACCGTTCACGGGGGGAGGTAGGTAGGTAGGTAGGTGGGGTGACTGTAAAAAAAGCTTTTAACTTAATTATGTTGGCCATAAACTGCAGGTTTATTTTGGCCGTAGAAATGACGCGAGCGAGCAGCGCGCCGCTTGGCGTGTGAACACTGGACTGACCGACCGACAACAACGTTCGACTCTAATTAAATGTCGCCTGGGGGGCATATGACCAACATTTTGTCTATCCCAAAGACCTATACTTATATTCAGATACATTTAGATATAAACTCGTATTTGGTATTTGGTATATGGCAATTTGTTTCAGTTGTGCCGCTGGGCAAGGGGGTCTGAAGTGTTTGCTCGTGAAACACTCGAATCGAAACCATTTTCCATTACCATTTCGGCCATGTCATTGTTCGGCCAGTATGTGAAGTGAAGTGTGTATTTGGGTGAATGATTTACATAAATTCTCAAACGTTCAAACGGCACAGGGAGATCTGATCCGATTTCAATCCCAAATCACAGTCCCACAGTCACACAGTCCCTCCAAGTAGTGCACCCTGTATTGACAGAATCAAGCGCTGGTCAAACAAAACCCACACACTATTTGGCACTCGGCAAGTGGTGGTCAGAGCTTTGGGCACCGTTAAGAAATAATTATATAACCACTTCAAGTGCTGCCACAGTCTCAGTCTCAGTCGCACTCGCTCTGTACTGCTCTGCTCTGCTCTGCTTGGCCGCACTTAAAGTTTTGTGAAGTCTGGGCCGTGAATTTTCGTACCGACTGTTGCGCTGTTGCTGCCCTGGCCAAATGTCATTAGCATTGTAAGCATGATAAATGACGCCACAAAACTCTAAGATTTTTTTGGTCTACATATATATATGTATGTGCTCGTATATAAGTATTTTTCTGAGCATGAAGTCGTCAAAAACCATTTGTCACAGTTTTGCCAGAGCTTAAGGCCGCGACAGAGGCTTTGTCAACTCCATTTTTCAAACTTTTGTCTCGAACAACTTGAAGTTCTGTGAATACGAGTATGTATGTCAAAATTTCTCGAAAACTTTAAGTTCTTTGAGTTCTTGTATGTTTTTGATCATTTCTCACTATAGCACCGATCAAGTTTTATGCGGTGGAATTCCTGTCTGTCTCTCTGTTTTTCTGTCCCTGAATTTCTGTCAGTATTTTCATATTAATAAGCTAGAAAATGATAATCCCCTCTCGGATAATGCATACCGAAAAATCACTCATACGCAACGTTTGGCAGAGCTCTCATTGTGGCCATGAAATATCGATTACGACACTTTTGCCAGACACCAGACGCGCGTTGCGCGGTATTGCAGCATTGCCTCGTGGATGATGTGTCGCGGATACGCGAGTAGTATCTCTCATTGGCTAACTGAGCTCCGCTTAACCCAACGAACAGCACCAGCACCCCAGCACTGAAATGCAAAACGAGTCGACCGCAGGCAAGAGTCGTCCCCTTTTCCCCAACATCAATCTCCACCTCTCCAATCACTTGGGTCGTCATTAATGGTAGGACTGCAGCCGTGTGGCGGCTTTAAGTGCGTGCGCGCTTAGTGCCATTGGCAGCCGTCAAAATCAACACAGACAACGACAACGACAATGACAATGCCAGCAAACGGCAGTTGCCAACGAAGTTGTGAATACCCTTTGCAGAGAGTATTATAATATAACAAAACAAAGAAATATATATTCCGTTTCTATCTACCTTTTTTATGGAAAATATTCCCTTAATCTCTAAGCTATCTGTTTGCTACTGCACCCTGAACACTCTACCATGGGTATTACAGTCTTCGAGCCTCGCAGGTAGACTGCTTGTCGTTTTGTGATATCGTTTCTGCCAATTTGACAGACAGTTGGGGCAAAAGCAAGAGCACTGGCTCACTAGCTCCATGGGCTGGCTGGCGTGTAAATAAAATTACGTTTTTGAGGCTGCCGGCCACACGCATTTTCTTCCCCTCTGCTGTGCTCTGCTCTGACAGTTTTGCATATCTCTCTGGCTCTCTGCGGCACTTTGAGTTTTCATTCATGGCAAATGTCGTTTTTTTTTCTCTGTCGGCGGCGAGTCTTTTATCAATCATGTGCCTGAGCAGCACACGGGCTACGTGAGTCGCCAGGGCAATAATTACAAGCGATAAGTTGTTCGGGCCAGTGGAAACTCATTAATAATGACCCCGAGGGCCTATGACAACGATGGTTTGTGTCTGGGGCACAGCCGGTTCCTGTCCGCCCCATTGCTAAGCACTGGCTGTGGCATGAGGCACGGGGAATGGCGAACGGGGCACGGGGCACCTACATATATCTAATGCACAATTTATGCCAAAAGTTGAGCTCTGACTTACAGCTGTTGAGCTCTTGTAAAATTATTATAAATCTCTTGTTGATGAGCTGTGATTATTAGCGTTTTACGTGCTCCAATTTTTGTAAGCAACTGCCACATCAACACACACGCCATAAGCAGCAGGCATCAGGCAGCAAGCTGCATGCAAGTGTCATTAGTCAGTTCCAGGAATGGCTAAACTAGTCTGTCGTCGTCGTCACAGCCCCCCTCATTCTGGTCGATCAATCAGGTACGGAACGACTCCACTGATCTGCCGTGGGCGATTCACGCTCAACTGGTCCAATTACCTCATGCATTCACAAACATACTCTACAAGTATATGCCTCGTCAGAGTACGGGGTATGCCACTCCCCCAGTGTGTAGTCTGTGTTTTCTTGGGCCGGCATCTCTGCATAATTAACTGGCGGCCCTTTAAGTCACTTGGTAATTATGTCGCAGACCTCACAAGGGTTTTGGAGTTGACAAGAACTTGCATTGAATATGTTGGACAATTTGCATATAGAAAACTTTAACCTTCAACTTGATTATCTTTTCGATCTACACAAAACTTAATTTCAGAAGAATTTCCTTTCAATTTCATGGCAATTTTGATGTTCTGATTTATGTCTTCCGATTGTTTCCGATGTTTTCTCTAAATATTTTTCAATTAAATGCCAGAGACACAGAAACAAATATGCTTTTATGGTTTAATTTTTCGCATGGGTTTGCTGAAATCAGAGACACCAGACATCAGGCCACCCAAACATGCCACTGTCGGCAGCCCCAGTGGATGCGGAGAAAAATCACAACAATTTATTTGATTTGCCCGCACAATGATGCCAACTATGAGTGGGGCATGCCACATCAGCAGAATTTTTCACCCAGCGAGACAAAAGGCGACAACGAGAGACTCTTCTTTCAGATGACGACCCATTTAATTTGGCAAACGTGAGCAGTTTTAAGCCAGAGAGAAAAGCAGGCCAGGCCAGGCCAGAGAGCAGAAGTCTGGGAAAACAGTGGGGAAAACACCGTCACAAACATCTGTGCTCTGGCTCTGGCTCTGGCTGTGGCTGTGGCTCTGGATCCACGGACGTGTGAATGATGACACTTTGCATGTGTTTGCCCAAGTCACAAGGCCCTGGCACTAAATATTGATGAGGGTGGTGTTGGTTGGTGCTGTGCCGTCTCCTAACTCAGTGTGGCACGTTCAAAGTAGGCAACACTTTTTGTCATGTCACAAAATGTTGCTGATGATGCTCTTGATGAAGCTCTGATGATGATGATGATGGGGTTTTTGTGGGTGTGATGAAAGGGAAAGAATTTACCCCAATGTGTTTGCCCTGGAAAATGGCGAGCGGCAGGAGGGATGAAAGGCACTTACCTTGATCTCGTGTATAAACTCGGTTTCATCCAGCAAATTAATGCGCACGGACATAATCCGCGATGGCCGACACAGGCAATTCATGTTGGTTGCCCTTTTGGTTATGCCTTCACTCTCCACACGATGAAAGATTAAGTATACGTCGCGCCGCCCTGAAGATTGTCTGGCATTGTCTGCAAGAGAAAGAAGATAGAAAGTGGCAATTAATATGTGCACATAATTAATACGTAGATATGCTTTTGCTGTGGCAATTAGCAGGAATGCAACTTGCATTTGCAACTGGTTTACAGATGCAGATGCAGATACAGATACAGAGACTGGATGGAAATGCCTCAAACAACATGGGGGAAGGCAAAGCAAAGCTAACCAACTCTGGCAGTTATAGTCTGTGGCTGTGTCTGTGGCTGTCTCTTGGCCTAGGCCTAGGCCTTGTTTTAATAACTCTTTTGGCTTGGCATTTATCTGAACCGCAGATCAGCAGCCAACACATCAGCGGCAATGACAGTCATCCAACTGTCAGCGGTTGCCGCTCCCCCATCTCCCAGTGGGGCATTATCATTATAATTTTATAATTGCGGTTGTTTTCCAGCGATAAGTTTAATATGCATGAAGAAGGGGAATCGCAGAGAAAGAATCACCTACGACAGCAACTAAAGCCCCTTCCTCTGCCATCCTCTACGACGACAACAAGAACAACACCAACAAAAGTCACTTAAGCGGATTAGTTAAAGGGCGCTTCTCCCTCTCCCTCCCTCACCCTCCCTCTGTATATTTCTGTCTCTGTGTGTTTGTGTGTGTGTGTGTTGCCTAAAAGCAGATTATGTCATTAGAGTTATAGTACATGGTGGGGCAGTGGCAAGAGAGTAGCGGCGGAGGAGGCATCCGACGACCAGCTTAAAGTTTGCCAAGGGGCTTTAATGGAGAAGTTTTGAAGCGCCACAAAGTTGAAATTGGTGTGGAAACAAACAGTGGTAACTGTTTTAAGGGGTAAAACATGCGCAAGATCGAAGGGAAATATTAGATGAAATCAATTAAAATACTGAACTAAATCTAATTACTTTCAAATTAGGTGCTTTTGTTCCATTATGAATATTTGTCGTCATGTGCATCCCATTAACCTAATGACTAAAAATTCCAGTCAAGTTTGGTTGTAAAGAAAAAAATAGTTATCCTCAAATTTCAATTGTCGGAATACGCCCTCAAAGGAAGTCCCAGTTAAAACCCATAGGCAATGCCTACTGTACTATGTATCTTCCACTTTGATATGTCATGAAAACATGTGAAAACATTTCGCCGACAAAGAACAGACAGAGAGAGAAAGAGAGAGAGAGACTGAGGGCCACAAAAAGTAGATCTCTGGCAGTGCCACTGCAACTCCGACGCTGAGACGCATGTGGCTGCCTCTTTGTTGGTTGCTGCAGCAACTACAAAATAATTAATGTGCATTCGCATAATGAAAAGCTGCGAATGGGTAAAAAAAAGAGCAGTACTAAGGGGAGGGTTGGTGGGGCCAGGGTTGACTTTTCACACATTTCACATGGCCAGACCTCAAGTTTCTGTTGTTTTTGCATAGTCTCTGACTTGTAGTTATATTCATAGTCGCAGTCATAGCAACATTCATAGTCGCAGTCATAGTTGAGGTTGCAACCTCTTTTCCATTTGCATTTTATATATCTACGTGTGTGTGTGTGTGTGTGTGTGTGTGTGTGTGTGTGGGGGGCTTTCATTAGATGCTGGCTGGCACATTTCACTGGAGCTCGTCGCTCATTACTCTAATGAAATATTATGCCTAATTAATGGAAAGTCGGCTGCCAAGTCGGTTGACTGACATATGTCATACATCTGTCTTTAAGTTGGTCACTCTGTCAGCGCGGCTGCTGTTGCAACGGGGGCAGCAACACAGCTCAGCAGCAAGTTGCATCAATTAAAATGCATATTTATGTGAATGACAGCCACTATGAATGTGGAAAAAGATGGAAATGGTTGTTGTCCCCCCACCCCACACCCAGTGCATGTAATTTTAATTGCAGCCGAACGCATGCAACAACAAGTTCATTCAACTTGCCACCAGAGAGAGTGCAGACTCTGCCGCGTTACGGGGGACTTTTTCACCCACCCACAAGAGTAGCAGCTTCAACGCACAGGCACAGGAAAATACAATTTAATCGTAAATTTTCTTTAAATTTAATGTCCCTCCTGATCGTTAAGCTTTAGCTTTAGGTATCATATGTGTTTTTTTTCTTAAATGGGAAACAATTTTCTCGGCTATAAACATATTAATTGGTTTTCCCAGAAACTCTTTCAACATATGGAATACCCTTCTTCATGGAGCGTTGGTAAAGCTTTTACTACTTGAAAAATGTTCAACAAATGCAATAAGTTTATTCCCCATCCAAAAAGTTTAACCACAATGGAAGGATGGGAAGATGGAAAGTCCCCAGAAAATCCTACAAAACCACACATGTGATAAATATGCCATTGATCGATTTTTGAGCAGCATTTCCCGTCGCCCCGCTCAGGCACTGAAGAAATTTATCGTCTGGGCATATTTATAGCGTCATATCTTTATGCCCGAGCCCTGTGTGTTTACAGGACATCATCAGCATCAGCATCGGTTACAGATTCAGCTTCATGCTTCAACTTCATGTTTCAGCACCCAGCGACACCCTCATAATTTCTTTTCCCATCAAATTTATCACAGCAACAGCAGAAGCAAAGGGAGGAGGAGGAGCAGAAGCAGCAGGAGCATCGGCGGGTGGTAGGCGTGACTTTTCTCCATGCTTTTCCGGAGGAGGGATGTGGGCTAAAAGAAAAACTTGCCTTGATTTGTGATAAAGTGCGTGTGGCATTTGGCCGACCGACCTTCATCCCCCCCTTCCATTGCCTATTTATCAGAGGCAAACTTTGCTTTCAATTTTCTGGGGGATTTTTACTACTTTCTTTCCTTCTCTTCCTACTACGCTTCCTGCAAAGCTTTTCTACTTATTTTTCTTCCATTTTTTCGGGTGCTTTATTAATAATATTTGTGCAGACTCCAGACTCCAAATACATCCCTATATCCATACACTGTCGCACATTACTCCCCTCCTCACATCATCATAAACTGAATGGCAAAGGCTGCCTGGCTCCCTACTTGCATTCATTTTTGCTTTTCTGCTGCTTTTCTGACGGGCGTATCAATAACTGAAAATGTCTCAAACAGCATTTTGTCATATTTCAATGAATCCACACTCCTTCGCACTCCTCCCTCCCGTACATTTCTGCTCGCATCCATCTGTATCCCTTGGATCCGTTTTATGTTTGCGGAAGTAACACCCAGGCCAAGGCAAAAGGCAAACAAACTTTTAGCACATACATCTGGCAGAAAGGCAGCAGAGTAATGTCTGGCCCAGGTCTCTCTCTCCCTCTTGGTCTTTGGTCTGGTTTTCTGGCTAAAACGAAATTATTTATTACCAGTGTTGTTTGCCGGCAGGTTGTGGGGCGAATGGGGACGAAACTGCTGGCTGTATGCGTAGAATCTGCTGCTGGTAATGATGATGAAAAACGTGAAAGCATCGAAAAGTGCAAATGCCAAAAAAAAAAAAAGGTGAGAAGGGGGCGCCGCAAATCAGAAGGATTGCCCCAGACATAGTCGCAGACCCATGGCCCAGAAACCTGAAACCAGACCCACACTTTAATGATGATTAAATGCGCGTTTAGGTTTTTCAGCATTAGGAAGGGAATCACTCTGCTGCTCTCTCAGGCAGGGCAGTGATTTTCCTCTTTTGGGTTTTCCTCTTTTAGCTGGTTGATTTGACTATCAAATGGAGCTTATTGGTTCGAGTGGTGGCAAGGGGCAAGGCGATGGTGAATACTTCCTCAAATGAGCTGGAAAATTGAAGCCAAGGGCAAAGCGCTGGCCAAATGAATTGCAGGAATTTCAAAGAATTTCCATGCTAAATAAACTAACTCTACGGGAACTCTAGCTTCAAGTGGAAGAGCTCGCTGCATCCCAGAAATTTATTGTATAAATATTTGCGTTAAAGATTCTAAGACTCCTCCTCTCTGTGGAGATCTGCGTGCATGAAATTACTTAATACTGTTCGCGGCCTCGTTTTTCCATCTCTAGCGCTAATTTCTGAGAAATGCTTGAGTTGGGCCATGGCTCATTCCTGCAGAGAGACGAGAGCAATATGCATAGCCATAGTCGGGGCTCGAAACGGCATGGACATGGCCACAATCCGCAGGCGGGCATAAATTTTACCACCACACACATACAGAAAATTGCATTATAACATATGGGGATGAATGGATGGTTGGATGGATGTTGATCGGTGGATGGAGAGGGGGTTCAGTTGGGGCGTGGGCACGGCTCATACCTTGAGGCATTTGCAGCAATTAACACGGTCGACGGCGTGTCTTGGCGCCCACTTTGGACCGCCACAGCCACCACAATCAGAGAGGCAGAGGCTGAGGCTGTGGCTGCGGCTGTGGCAAGGGGCCTCAGAGTTTCTTATTTTTCACTTATTTTTGGCACGTAATGAGCTTGGAAATGCATTGGATTGTGTCCAAGACGCAGGCACAGGGACACAGGCTCTAATTGCATTGACGCTTTTGCCAACGGAATGACATTGAGAGGTGCATGCCACCTGGAGGCACCTTGGCGGTGGTGCGCACCGCTTGGACCTGATTGAGTTGCAGTTAATTATGCCTCGCTGCTTGGCATTTCGACGATTTTAATGATTTGTAGCGGTTTTTGCTGGTGAAATATTTCGCTTACATGTGGCACAGGGATACGGATACGTGCCTCTACGCCGTGTGGCACCCTGCACCTCCTTCCCTACTCACTGGCTGCTGACTGCTGGCTGCTACGACAACACGTCGAGTGCAATGACACACAAGATTTTTGTGCCGTGGTGCTGTATGAGTATTTATTTACAGTTGCCGACACAACGATGACGTTGCCTGACGACAGGCCGAGTGAGTGTGTGCGTTAATATTTAAGCGGTTGCATGGGAACTTGTTAACACCAACGAGGTAGCAAGCAGCACACACACGACCGTGCCACAAGACCAGACCAGACCAGAGCGAGACCCAGCCACAGCCACAGCCCCAGCCCCAGACAAGCGCCAAGGGAGAGACAGAACGAACGGGGAAGCAATACGGTGTAGTACGGGGGAGTGGCAGCTTCCAT